GTAGTGACTGAAAGAATGAGATCGCTGATACAGGCGGTTGAAATGAGTTTTCTCCGCAGGGTAGCTGGATTCTCCATTAGAGATATGGTGAGAAGTTCAGTTATTCGGGAGAGACTCGGAGTAGAACTGCTACTTCTCCATGTCGAGAGGAGCCAGTTGAGGTGGTTCTGGCATCTGTTAAGCATGCCCCCTGGGCACCTCCCTAGAGAGGTGCTTCGTGCATGTCCAACTGGGAGGAGATCCCGGGGAAGACCCTGAACACGCTGGAGAGACTGTTTCCCAGTTGGTTGGGGAACGCTTTGGAGTCCTCCCAGAAGAGCTGGAAGAGATGGCTGTGGAAAGAGATGTCTGGGCCTCCCTGCTCAAGCTACCCCCGCGACCCGACTTCGGAATAAGCAGAAGATAATTGATGGATGGATGGATGGAAAAAAGTTAATTAGATAATAATAAAATAACATTACCTCTTCTTGAACGGCCATCATTTGTTGTGAGGTGGTTGAATCTCTCGGTCATCATCACCAGGGCAGGGCTTTAATCTGGTCCAGGGCTTGTTGACGATCAGTTTTAGCTTTTTCATAAAGTGCTGCTACAACTTTTAGGCTGAAGTGTTGATGCAATAGGATGTAGTAGCGGAGCTCAAAAACTTTAAAGCCGGCTCATCAACAACAATACGGACGTAGATCCAGAGCTTTAAAAACTTCTACAGCTTGTGTTGTTGCTTTGGACCGATTTGAATTACCTGATAAAGGTTGTTTAAATGCTACTGTTATCGGTCTTTGCACCAACCAAGCTGCTATTCTGTAGAAGAGACGTTCACGTTTGGATGATGTCGTTTCAAGTGCCTTAACAAGTTAGACGTGCTGCCTGCTGCAGATCTAATCTCCGTGAAACGTCAACACACAGCTTTGGATTTGTTCACTTGTCTTTTAACAAGAAAGCCATAATGTTCCCAAACAGGAGACCGCAACGAGATGCTAGAATGCTAATGCTACGCGTGCTGCAAGATAATAGCGCTGTGCTGAAACACGCTTAGGAACTTTAGTTCCGCGGCACATAATCTCTCGTTAATAAAATTTAATGAGTGAAAAAATAATTGAAACGGTACGCACGTGGACCGAACCGAACATGCTATACTGAAACGGTTCAATACACCCATGTGTACCGTTACACCCCTATCTGATTGATTACTTTCTTTTTCAACGGAGCAGCTTTATTGAGTGAAGTTTGCAAAAAAGTTGTAAATTTATCAACCAGATGATCCAAGTCACTGCTCTCTGATGTATTACTCTGCAAGACAGAGGAAAATGATGGAAGAGAATCCTTAAATTTGGTTCCAGCATTTTCTGATAAGCACATGTGACTGTGTAGTCATTTAATGTAAACTCAAAGATTATTATAAAGACAGACAGAACAGGATTTTGACGATGTATTACTAAGTCATTAATCTCAATGCCATAAGTCAGAACCAGAATCAAGACTGTGATCATGAGAATGAGTAGATGTTTGGACATTTTGGGTAAAACCAATTGACTCTATTAAATTATTAAAGGCTGTGCTTGAGCTATCATTTTCAACATCTACATGAATATTGAAATTACCCATTATTATGACTTTATCAGTATTTAGTAGTAAGTCAGTTAAGAAGTCTGATAATTCAATCAAAAACTGAGCATAGGAGCCTGGTAGACAATAGCAACTTGGAAGAGTGGCCTTTCCGATTTCCATTTTCGACTTGGAGACAGCAACTCAAAAGTATTATAACTAATAATTGGTTTAGTATTAATCAATAGTCCTGACAGAAAAATAGAAGCTACACCTCCACCTCGACCAGTTGTTCTAGGGACATGAAAATTTAAATAATTAGGTGGAGTGGATTCATTTACACTAACAAAATCTCCCTGTTTTAACCAGGTTTCTGTCAGACAGAAAAATCAGTATGATGATCAGTTATCAATATCAGATCATCAGCAGGGATTTAGAGATCTGATGTTTAATAAACAACACTTAATTATTGTATTCTTTTGTTCTGGTAAAGTAACTGTTTATTTTAATTAGATTTTTATGGTTTATATTTTTAGAGCTGATTTTTGATGTATTTATTTTGAGCCGTGGGTGAGTTTGCACTGTTTCAATGGGGTTTTTGGGTGTACTATAACATTTTGAGTGGGTAACAGAGGAGAAGCAGCAGAGAAGTGTTGAAGACTACAACTCAGCTTCCTGGACTGATTTTTAGACAGGACCGTTAATTGTCAATAATCTGGATGTCCAACTGGGTCAGCTAAATTTTTATAAAGAAGTGCTGCCCCATTCAAAGTGGGATAGATTCCATCTCTCCGCATCAGACTGGGTTTTGGGTCAGGATCTCCTCACACTAACTTCCAGTTATCTACAAATCCTACATTGTTTTCAGAGCACCACCTGGACGCCCAGTGGTTGAAAGCCAACATATAACTAAGCATGTCATCACTGGTCCGGTTGGGGAGGGAGCCGGCGAAAACTACTGAGTCCGACATGTTTTTTTGCGAAGTTGCACACTGAAGCAACATTAATTTTAGTGACCTCTGATTTGCGTAGTCGAGTGTCATTTTCGCCGACATGAATAATGACTTTACTTAGGGCTGCAACAATGTATCGATAAAATAGATAAAATAGATAAAAATAGATGATTAAAAGTGTTGGCAACGAATATCATTATCGATTTGTTGTGTCGCGCGATTAAGCGTCTTTCACGGAGCTGTGGAGCCGTTTTGTTCACGGGCAGAGCATTGTCAATGCTGGCTGACTGAATAAAGTAAAAAAAAAAAAAAAAAAAAACCTCTGCAGCGCGAGTTGAACAGAGCGAGGGGAAAGGCGGAAGCAGAGCAGAGGCGGTGTTTTCAAAGGAAATTAAGTAAATAAAAAAATATTAAAAAGTAGAAACGTTTCGTCTTTCATCCGAAAAACTTCTTCAGACTGAAGAAGTCTTTCAGATGAAAGACGAAACGTTTCTACTTTTTTTGTTTTGTTTTTTGAATGTTCAGAGGACCAGACTAAACTTTTTTTAGATAGGCTTCACTACAATGATCCACACTTTTAATCCAGGTTACACTCTTCCCTCAAGGACACATTTTACAAAGTAGTTACATGTGCAGGTATAAAGCATACATTTGTTTATATTTTTGTGTACATTTATTTTTTAAGCTATTTGACTAACTTTTATTTTTATTATTCAATGTTTTACTAACAGAATAGTCAAGTAGCCATCTGTTTTTTGTGCAAATTGCCATGTCAGTCAAATGTTAAATTTTGGAATAAAGGAGTGGAAATTAAAATATTTGTTGTTTTTTGGCCGATCTGTCGATTAACCGAAAAATGATCGGCCGATTAATCAATTTTTGGAATAATTGGTAGTTGCAGCCCTCATTTTACTGTATTTCACCTTAGCTTTAGCCATTTGTTTCAGATGGGATTCATTGTCGCCTGCTCTGGCCCCTGGAATGCATTTGATTGTGGTTTGAGTCGCAGGTGCCACATTTCGAACTATGGAGCTGCCAACATCGAGAGTCTGCTCCTCGACAGGTGCCTTACTAAGCATGGAAAACCGATTTGAAAGTTGGTGGTTGACCGAGGGCTTAATTTTGGTAATTTTTCTTTGAACCGTCATCCAGTGGGGCTGAGGTTCAGGACAGATAAGTGGGGGAAACTAATTTGAAACATGGTTTTGAACGGGAGAAGAATCATTTAAAACGTTGTTTGAAACGTGACCGGATATATGAATATAATGAGCGTAATAACTTGAAGTGTTGCATGTTTTTGTTTGTTTGTTTGTTTTGTTTTTACAAGGTTTCACCAAAATGGTTCCAATGCCATCATTTCTCAACCCAAGATGAATTAATTTAAAGGTGAAGGTGGCAGGTGAGATGCATTAGTTCAAGGAATGCTAGGCCTTTTTCAATTCAATTCAACCTTTATTTATACAGGTTATTGTCATTGAGCCACGAGGACTCATTTACAAGAGAGACATGTTTTAAACAAAGTGCACAGATGAGTCGCAGACAACAATAGCATTTAAAATGAAAAGTAAATCAAGTTCAAGTAGGTTTATTGTCATTACCATCACATGTGGTACCTGAGGTGGAACAAGATAATGTACTCAGGGTCCCAGTTACATCCAACAATAGAAAAAGTATAAAGTGAAAAAAGAAACAGTATAGAAGGATCTACGATATAAACTAAGATATACGCTAAACACTAATAACGCAAAACAATACGGCATAACAACAGCAGCCCGAACATGAGTCCGTGGTAAGCGGATGCGTACGAATGAATACAGCAGCATGAAATAATCAGCAACATGATAAATAGAAGAAATGATGTAGAAAAATAGAAGAAATAAATAAATAGAAAAAATTATTTTTATAAAATGAAACAAAAACAGCCACAGTATAAACAGATGTACAATACTAAAAACAATAACACGACTGCGTTGGTTTTTTCTATGAACTGAGTAGAGGCAGGGCAGCCGGCTTGGGACCCGAAAGTCCCAGGTTCGATCCCCAGTCACTGCACATCACGTCGCGTCTCTGGGCAGCACGTCTCATCCCCAAAATGTCCCCCGGGCGCTTTCAATAGCTGCCCACTGCACCACCTGGTGGTGGATGGGTTAAATGCAGAGACTAATTTCGCCATTGTATGGAAACATACAGTGCTGACATTGTGATGACATTATTATTATTATTATTATTATTATTATTATTATTATTATTATTATTATTATTATTATTTAAAATCCCTTAGAGAGATTAAGGTCGAGAGTCTCAGATCTTTTTCAAGATGTTCCAGGATACAGGAGTGGAGTTAGAGAAAGCCCTTTTGCCAAGTTCAGTCCGCACTGATGGTACACTGCAAGTAATTATGTCCTGAGAGTGCACGCTGTAGCTGCACTGACAAAGTGACATTAGATTAATTAATCACTGTAAATCTCTGCCCTCTGATCTTCTCTTTTCTTTCCTTTTTTCTAGGTCGATGCTTGGCGGTGAATGTCCCATCACCTCCCTCTAAACTTGGAGGCCAGTAGGATTTGGGAGCTGGCTTTGTAATAGTGGCAGCAATGCGGGCTTCTGTGGTGGGCTGCAGGATGAACCTGGGCGCGCTCCTTAATGGGCTGCTGGTTTCCATAGTTGCAGCCCTTCTGTGGAAGTACTCTAAGCTGAGTGAGCATGCCGCTCTGCTTGAGGAGGAGCTGCACATGACACAACAGTCCCAGGAGCTCTCACAGGCCCGCATTGACTACCACGTTGCTCTGCAGTCTCTTCAGGAACACGGTACCAGCATGGTCTGCACTGGCAAGATGCACACCGACCGTATCTGCCGTTTTGACTATCTGTGCTACTCCTCTGAGGCAGAGGAGTTTGTGTTCTTCCACTCCAACTCCTCCGTCATGCTGCCTAATCTTGGGTCCAGGCGCTTCCAGCCTGCCCTGCTAGATTTGTCCTCTGTGGAGGATCACAACACCCAGTACTTTAACTTTTTAGAACTCCCAGCTGCAGCTCTTAAGTTTATGCCCAAGCCTGTGTTTGTACCAGATGTGACTCTAATTCTCAACAGGTTTAATCCAGATAATCTAATGCATGTGTTTCATGATGACTTACTTCCAGCTTTTTATACCATGAAACAGTATTCAGACCTGGATGATGAGGCTCGTCTTGTGTTTATGGAGGGCTGGGGTGAAGGGCCACACTTTGATCTCTATCGACTTCTCAGCACTAAGCAGCCACTGCTCAAAGAACAGCTGAGAAACTTTGGAAAACTAATGTGTTTTACTAAATCTTATGTTGGCTTGTCCAAAATGACTACCTGGTACCAGTATGGGTTTGTCCAACCACAAGGCCCCAAAGCCAACATTTTGGTGTCAGGGAATGAAATTAGGCAGTTTGCCAAGGCTCTCATGTTTAAAATGAACATCACAAGGGTAGAAGAGGTCTGGAAGGATGGAGAAAGTTCTGAGCAAGAAAAGGATAAAGAGAAGAAAGATGAATATATAGTAGTTTTTAGTCGTTCAACAACAAGACTAATACTGAACGAAGCAGAGCTAATCATGGCACTTGCCCAAGAGTTCCAAATGAGAGTGGTCACGGTATCCTTGGAGGAACAGTCTTTTTCTAGTATCATCCAAGTAATAAGTGGTGCTTTCATGTTAGTCAGCATGCATGGAGCTCAGCTTATCACCTCACTGTTCCTCCCCAGAGCTGCTACTGTTGTAGAACTGTTCCCTTTTGCTGTAAATCCAGAGCAGTACACTCCATATAAAACCCTCACCTCCCTTCCAGGCATGGAACTTCACTACGTTTCCTGGAGGAACACAAAAGAGGAGAACACTGTCATCCATCCACAGAGACCCTGGGAACAAGGTGGCATTGCCCACTTAGAAAAGGAGGAGCAGGAGCGAATAATGGCAAGTAAAGATGTTCCAAGGCATCTGTGCTGCCGTAACCCAGAATGGCTTTTTCGAATCTACCAGGACACTTTAGTGGACATCCCATCTTTCCTTGGTGTTCTCAGAGAGGCCATGAAGACCAAGCCCAACTTGAAGAAGGTTAAGATTGCCAGCACAGTCCATCCTGGCCGAGTCAGAGAAGCCTGTTGTCAAACTTCTGTACAAACGCCTAATGAGGCTAAACTCACAGTCTCATGGCAGATCCCATGGAATCTGAAATACCTGAAAGTGAGAGAGGTGAAGTACGAAGTGTGGATCCAAGAACAAGGGGAGAACACCTACATGCCTTATATCCTTCCCCAGCTGAACTACACATTTTCTGACAACATAAAGCCCTTTACCACCTACCTGGTGTGGGTGAGGTGCATCTTTAACAAGAACCTCCTGGGTCCCTTTGCAGATGTTCTTACATGCCGGACCTAAAAAACAAAGCTACGGGCACTTAATTGTTTGCTGGAATCACATAAACACTTGTTGATTACACTAAGGATGGTAAATAATGATTGATTTGCTGCAAAGATGACTTTTTAGCCCTTGCACAAATATGTATTCTTATCTGCTGGTGTGGATTCTCACTCATCCAAGACTTGGTAAATAAATAAATAAAGCAACAACTGGACTTCTATTCTGTAGTTAAAGACATTTTACTTCCCTTCCTGGGAGCTTTTTCAATTCATAAAACCAGAGTGTGTGGAGTTAGAAGCTCTTCAACTGCATGAGATGCTCTGTTCCATTGCTGATTAACTGCTTTTCCTCAAACTGGAGAGTCATTAGGGTCATTGTTCATCAGTCTCACAAATAATGTGCTTCAATCATATGCATGAAGGTGTTAATTTGAGTAAAATTTACTGGGTGTCAGGCTTAATGCTCTATTGTAAATCCTTGGTTACACAGGAACAATCTCTTAAGATGTCAGCAATTTTCCTATGTTGATTTGGAAAAAAGGACGGCACTGTGGCGCAGTTGGTAGAGTTGCCACCACTCAACAAGCAGGTCGCCGTTAAAAAAACAACAAAAAACCCGGTCGGGGGCCTTTCTGGGTGGAGTTTGCATGTTCTCTCCATGCAAGAGCGTGTTTTCTCCAGGTACTCCAGTTTCCTCTCACAGACCAAAAACATGCATGTTAGGCTGATTGGTAACTAAATTGTCTCTAGGTGTGAGTGAGAGAGTGAATGGTTGTTTGTCTTATTTGTCTCTGTGTCTCTGTGATGGACTGGAGACCTGTCCAGGGTGTACCCTACCCCTCGCGCAGTGACTGCTGGATATGGACTCCAGTGACTCCCACAATCTGAAAAAGAAAAATCAGGTAAAGAGATGATGGATGGATGGATGGATGGATGGATTGATTTGGGGAAAAAAATCCCAGTTTTCACGTACTACAGTTGCTGTTCATTGGAGACTACAAAAAATGTTGAATCTGCTGTATTTTCCGTGCCAGGCAGGGTTACCAGATAGGAAATGAAGAACTGTCAGACTGTTGCTTTAAAGTTATTGTATTTTTACCCAAACTATTGTATGTGAATGTTGTTTTCTGCACCAAACTGCACTGGCCACCACACTCTCCCAACACAGCTTTTGTTTGTTGGTTTTGTCTTTAGGATTGATCAGCTTCTATCTGAGAGTCATGCCGAGTCTGATTCTCACCAGTATGTTGTGTTTGGAGAAAATCCTTAAGTTTCTCAGATATTCCAGTAACACGGGATGACCGTTTGTTTTGTTTTACTTTTACTCTCTGTTTTGTTCTGTAGCATGTTTTTTAAATGTCCTTGCTGACTTGACAAAAGCTTAGGTAGAATATTCACTGCTGTTTTGATGTGCCTTTTCCTTTCCTTCTGTCTTCATAGGGACATGTTTGAGCCAAGAGTGTAGAGTTCTCAGGACAGAAAATTTGTGTTCCAAATTCTGTTGGGAATCAAACCGAAAGTATTGATCTGTGTAGATTGGTTTCCTGTGAACCTCAGTGTTGAGGCTTCCATCTCTTTCCACATGCACCAGTCGATATGTGGTGTGGTTTGTTCCCAGCAAGAGGGGATAAAATACCAGCAAGGTGTTTTGCAATGTTATGTCACTGAGTGGCATTGCTACTGATGGGTTCCTTCTTTGTGCATTTTGGGACGTCCGTAAACACGGAGTTGCTTCTCCAAGATACAGTCTGTGTGGTAAAATGATCAAATGATTACTTTGTCCTTTGTTTTTGCAAATAGTCAGTGACTTCATTTTTGTAGGTGCTAATTCAATTCTATTCAGTTTATTTATATAGCGCCAAATCACAACAGAAGTCATCTCAGGGCACTGAATAGAAACGTTCTTTGACTTTAACTTCATCTCAGAACTCTCATCTTGAGCAAGCACAAAGGCGACTGTGGAAAGGAAAAACTCCCTCATGAGGAAGAAACCTTTAGCAGAACCAGGCTCAGGACAAGTGGCCATCTGCTTCAACCACCCTGGGTTTGGTAGGAACAGATACACAATGGCAGGTCAAGAATCACATGTTAAGAAAGAAATAATATCAAATGAAAACTATTCAATTTTAACAATTTATTTAAGGAAATTAGGTCAGTTTGTCCTCCAGTAGTCTAAGCCTATAGCAGCATAACAAGCCAACCCTAACTATAAGATTTATCAAAAAGGAAAGTCTTAAGCCCAGTCTTAAAACTGGACAATGTGTCAGCCTCACAGACAGAAACTGGAAGTTGGTTCCACAAGAGAGGAGCCTGATAACTGAAAAATCTTCCTCCCATTTGCTTTTGGAAACTCTAGGAACCACAAGTAAACCTGCAGTCTGAGAGTGAAATGTTCTGCTAGAAAAATATGGAACAATTAGATCTGTGATATAAGATGGAGCTAGGTTGTTCAGATATTTGGGTCCCTCTTCAAGGTCTCATATAGTTCTAGAATTGCGCCGCTCAAGGTGGCTGCATGTTGGAGCAGCTCTGTTACTTTCATTCTGAGATTTTGCTTTTGGAACTTTAATTTCTCTTTTTCAGGATGTAAATCACATTTTTTTGGATTGTTTCCTCTGGTATCAGATGCTGTGCAGCTGGAAGGATTTTTACTGAAACTTTTTTAGTTTTGGACATTTGTTATGATGCGTAACCATGGCAACGAGGCAGTTTTCTACAACCAACAGCAGATTAACATCTCAAAAGCTCAAATAATATCTCAACTACAGCCCCAAATCTCAAATGAGTTGAAAGGATGTTCTGTGTACACATTCTCATCTACCTGCCAGCTGTGCTCGAGTGCCTGACCACTGAGATCCTGAAACTAACAGGAAACACGGCTCGTGACAGTGGAAGGACAGGATCGTCCCTCGGCACCTACAGTTGGCTGTCCGCAGCGACGAGAAGCTCAGCAGACTGCTGGGAGGAGTGGCCATCGCTCTGGGAGGAGTTCTGCCCGGCATTCAGGTGGTCCTACAGCCCGGGGGAACCGAGAGGCCAGTCGAGTCTGGGTGAATGGATCGGACGGCATCTGCAGCCAGTTTCTTAGGATCCACTGTGGGATGGACCTTTACAAGAGATCCTTCCTGTCTACAGCTATCAGTATCTATAACATCTCTTAATTAAATGAGGATAACGAGTTACAACAACAAATAATTTCCCTTTGGGATTAATAAAGTATATTTGAATTGAATTTGAATGGGGTGCTAACACTCAGTAATGTGGTAAATTTTTCCTCGTATAGAAAGTTTTCAGATGTCATCACGACTTGATCGTGATTGATCCGCCACGTAGGTCACGCGTCTTGGTATAAGTCAGTTGTTGGAGAGGGTTGCTATTACCTTGATTCTGAGTTGTTCTGCGTCCATTTCAGTCAGGTTGTTTCTTCTAATGGTGGATTCAGTGGTGGTGATTAATTTACATCCGGTATCTCTTGTGGGGAAATGGCAAAATTTTGTCCTTCAGTATGTCCTTCTCTGGCTGTGAATAGGGCTGGGTACCTAACTAAAAAAATCGGTACCGGTGTCGGTCCCTTCACTTCGGTGTCGGTTCCTGGACGGTTCTTTTTTCGGTACCAATTTTGTAATTAATATTATTTCTAACTAGAATAAAATTACATTACACATTACAGTACATATTGTGAATTTTATTTTTAACTTTGGTATTTCTATTCCAAGCAGTTTTCTTACATTAAAATAAACAAATAATTTCCAGTTCAAAAGAACAGTTGCAAACAAGTGACACGTCAGTGTCTAATGCTCACTGCTACACACTGAGGACCTATTCACTGAACAGTTTATCTTCAGAAAAATCAACATGTCTGCTTTTTGTGGACACAAACAAGCCCGCTCATGGCTGATGGTGTCTCCAGCAGTAGGAAGTGTTCCCTCTGAGGCTGTAGATGATGGTTGTTGCACACACAGATACCTGGTTGTCAAGTTTGATAGCACCGACATATTGTCCTTCACATCCCACCAGCAGGTCACTGGATTCACTGAGGTTAAGTTGATGGCAGACATCTGCACCTCTGTGTCTCTGCCTGAATCTTGTCTGTGATTCTCAGGGGTTTAGGGCTCTGATCATCTCCCTAATTGACATGAGAACAAAACAACAATAACATGGTTATTATTGCTAAAAAAAAAAAAAAAAAACATTATCTGGGTTGAGAGATAAAAGTATAACTGGTCAACAAAATATTTTACAGCTTAAATTACCTCCACCATGCAGCTCCACTGTAGAAAAGACAGCAAACTTTTAACAACAAAGTCTATGATTGTCCTGTGGCCCCCACCTCACTTTTCTGTCTGTCCTCACATCAGGGTCAGAACCTCCTGTGAGGAGAACATTAACATAAACGGTGAACATTAGTGAACTGTTTAAGCAGCTGACTGGATGGATGAGCAGTTTTACAAGCTAAGATTTATGTTGCTGTCAATCTTTAGTTAGCTTCTGAGTTTAGCTAGCTACGTAGATAAAATAAATTTAAACATTAATATCTTAAAGTTAGCATTATTTCACTGCGATGTACATGTTAAGCTGCGGTAACGTTAACAGACGTCAACTCACCAGCTGAAACACAGACACAGAGCTGTCCTCGGGAGTTCTTTGATGAAGACGAGTCCTGCTGTGGAATGTTGATTCAGTCCGTTTCACACACACACAGAGACTGACTAAAGCCTCCAGTATACTGCCACGTACGTGCGTTCATGCATACGTACGTGTGTACTTTATGCAGAGGGTTCAGTCTTCATACTCCAGTGTACACCCCGAGCAGCTGCAGAGCAGCTTCACAGACAAGGGGCGTTTACCTTCGGGACAAATTGAGGTTGCCTATTGGTCATTTGCTGACACGCCTACTGGAATGATCGACAGGTCAGAAAAAAGAAAAAAGCAAGAGCTGGCAGCCTCAGCCACAGCGGTGTTCTGTGTTTATATGTTGTTAATAAAAAGATCTTAAAAAAAAAAAAACAGGAGCGCTGGCTCTACAGCCCACACATCAGACCAGCACACCAGGAAATCTCCAGACCCTCCCACAGCCATGCTGGACCTGAGTTTAATTCATCATGACAAATTCCTTCATTTCTCACC